TCATTGTACCAGTACCAAGCTGTTTAGACCACTATAGCCGTGTAGTAAATTTTGAAGTCGGGAAGTGACAGGCCTCCAACCTTATTCTTCTTAAGCAGTGCTTTGCTTATCCTGGGTCTCTTTCCTTTCCATATAAAGTTTGGAATTGCTTTTAACATCTCAGAAGAATGTTGTTGGAATCTGGAATGGGATTACATTATATATGTAAATTGTTTTGGGCAGTATTGACATTTTCACAATGTTAAGACTTCCTATCCAGGAGCATGGTACATTCTTCCATTCTTGTAGGTCTCTTTTGGTTTCTTGTAGTAGTGTTTTGTAGTTTTCTTTATATAAGTCCTTTGTTTCTCTGGTTACATGTATTCGTAGATATTTCATCCTTAGTGTATCTAATGCTTTTCTAATGTCCTTTTCAATGCTGTCGTTTTGGTATAGAGAAATCCATCTGATTTTTGTATGTTTGATTGTAGGTTGATCTTCTATCCTGCCACTTTACTGAATCTTCCTATGAGGTCTAGTGGCTTTTTCACTGAATCTTGGGGTTTTCTAAGTATAGGGTCATATCATCTGCAAACAGAGAGTTTTACTTCCTCTTTGCCACTTTGGATGCCTTTAATTTCCTGTCTTGCCGAATAGCTCTTGCTAAGACTTCCAGCACAATACTGAATAGGAGTGATGACAAAGGGCATCCTTGTCTGGTTCCTGTTCACAGAGGGAAGGCTTTCAGTTTCTCTCCATTGAGAATAATGTAGGCTGTTGGTTTTGTATATATGCTTTTAATTGTGTTGAGGAATTTCCCTCAAATTCCTACTTTGTTGAGTTTTTTTTTGTTTGTTTTTTTTAATCAGGAATGAATGTTGAATTTTGTCAAATGTCTTCTTCATCAATTGATATGATCTTGTGGTTCTTTTCTTTTTGTCTTATTTGTATGGTGGATAATGTTGATCAGTTTTCTAATATTGAACCATCCTTGCATCCCTGATATGAATCCCATTTGATCATTATGTATTATCTTTTTGATGTATTGCTGGATTCTGTTGGCTTAGCTTATGTTGAGAATTTTTGCATCTATGTTCATGAAGGATATTGATCTATTATAGTTTTCTTTCTTCGTGATGTCCTTCTTCCCTGGTTTTGGTATTAGTGTTATGCTTACTTCATAAAATGTATTAGGAAGTTTTCCTCCTCCTGTATTTTCAAGAGTAATTTGAGTAGAATTGGTGACAGCTCTTGCCTGAATGTTTGGTAGAACTCACCAGTGAAGCCATCTAGCCCTGGACTTTTGTTAGTTGGGAGTTTTTGATGACCTGATCAAGTGTTTCTTTTGTTATGGGTCTGTTCAGGTTTTCTTCTTCACTCTGTGTAAGTTTAGGTAGGTTGTGTTTGCCTAAAAATATAGTCATCTCTTCTATGTTTTCAAATGTATTGGATTACAACTCTTCATAGTATTCTGTTATTATGATTTCCTTTGGTTTCACTGTGACATTGCCAATGTGGATTCTGATGCATGTTATTTGTGTCTTCTCCCTCTTTTCTTTTGTTAGGTTTGTCAATGGTCTGTCGATTTTGTGAATCCTTTCAAAGAACCAGCTTCTTGTCCTGTTCTTTGTTTCTATAGTTTTTCTGTTTTCTAT